TTTCATTCGCTCGAGGCTAGCAGTAGACCGAAACATCAAAATAACTAGCTGTGGACGCCACCTGAGGAGGAATCGCATAACGACGTATAGTATAGGATTTGCATTATATAGGCCATTAATGACCTCCTCTAGTGCAATCCTTGAAGCAGGTGTTACGTCACAGCGGATAGCTTAAGTAATCACAGCTTCTTCAAGTGAATGATAGCTAGTTCCAAAGTAACAATAATTATGACGGCAAATTGCCGTCCCGGTCATTTTGCAGCTAGGCAGAAAAAAACTTTAGGCATTATAATAGTTTGACATTGTTGGATATCTCGGAAACAGAACATTTTCGGATTTCGGATTCGGTTTTAGCCATACAAGGCATCGACACCAGAAGTTAAAATGCTTCATCAGACCCCCGGGTATATCAATCCTTGAGGGATCAGGAAAAGAAACAAAGGCTATAGTAATAATAATAGTTTATTTAGTTATGAATATGTCACATTATTCAAACATCTCTTAATTGATCTTTGAAACTCACGAATCGTGATATATAGTTTAAAATTAACAATGAACGTCTAACTATACTTAAAATCAACGAAACTTCAACTATAAGCAATACAGGTTGATTCAAAGAACAGTCGAAGTACCTCTGGAGCAGAAGGTACATCCAGAAATAACATAAAAAGCTTGCATAAACACATGCCCAAAAATTCTTTATCTTCAAGATACAGGGTGATATAAATTTCTCTGCCTCTTAGCGAGGTCAGAACAAGAATATTGCTCAAACAGTCATGAGAGATAAATGTGGCTTATTCAACTATAGCTTACTCAAAAATGCTATATTCGTTTCAACAAAAGCTTGTGGCACAGAAAATACTTTTTTTTGCAATGGCCAAAATTTCTACGCCACTATTGTAGCCTGAATCTCAACGATTTACATTCATTCAAGCCAGTGCGTCGATCCACTTCTAAAATATACGAGCACGTATATTTATCAATTCCGAAATTATAATTTCAAAACCATACATCTCGTTGAGTGGACGTTTTAAGACCTATCTTTGTTCGAACGCGTTGAATTGTTTTTTATATGCATCAAAGATTAAATTACTGTCTTCTGAATCACCCTGTACATGTAGTCTATGTACAATTATTCGTGACATTTCAAAGACTTGTTCCAAAGTTCATCGAAAAGAATAAAAAAGTGTAAGTGTATGTACAATAATAAACTATAGTAAGTCGCTGCCTGGGATAGTACCAGTACTGCTAACAGTCGTCTAAAATTTTCGTTGAAGTTTGAAACGCATCATTCGTATGTTTTGTTGGAATGATAGATTGTCCTTTCCTTACTCAGCACTTCAGTATTTGCAGTTTATATTCGGAGATCGCTCACTGTAGCGCAAACGTGATTTTCATTATTAACCTTCCTTCACTTTTTTTCATATAACTTAACCACATCCAGTTTAACATAATTAGTGGAAACACATTGACATTGTCAAAATTAGCGTATAAGAAGTGATACATCAGAAGTCATCTTGCTTGGGTAGCTATTTAAAAATCTCCTTGAAAATAAAGGTGTAGGATAAAGATAATTCAGGTTTCTATGATAAGAAGACGGAGGTCTTTGTAAAATGAAATTTTTGAGTTCTGGGATGCCAAAAAAAAGTCTGTAATAGCAATCTATTTGAGAAAATTCATATTCTGAGAACAAGGATTCTCAGAATACTAAAAACTGGAAAAAACGACGATTTTTGAGATACAAATCTGCAAGATCTTGTCAGTTTCGTTGAATTGTGAAAAACGATCGTTACGGGGTGATATTTATACTAAACATGACGGGTCCAGCACATGCACCTTTATCTGGTTGCCGATTCTTCACCATATATGAAAATACACTTGAGATACAGTTGGCAGACATGGTGATGCAGGATTGGCTTAGATGCAGTGCTGTCATCAAATCTTTCTTGTTGTTTGGATTTATCGATAAGGAAATCCTTCCTAAGTAAAAAAAAAAAATATGGAGACTCTGCTTTTTTGATTTCAACTGTTAAAAAGTTAGTAAGTTGAAATTAGACTTAGTCGCACATGCGTCGAAGATGACCTATTAAAAACACGAATTATGGAGGTGAGTGAGATAGTTCTAGCAATGGCACTGCCGCAGCAGGGTGTGCAATGCATCGTGCGTAAAGAACTTGGGATAAGAAGGCTCTGCACAAGACGGTTGTTGTATTTGCTGAATACCGATCAAAACCGGATGCGGAAACACCAAAGTTTGAACCAATAGAGATCTGAGCGACTTTATGCGGCGATCTGCCCTCATGGATCAGAGTTGGTCTTACCAGTGCACCAGAAACAAAACATCAGTCAAAGCAGTGGGTGGAAGCCGGTGGTTCAGCATCTTATATGTCATGATCAGTGGGTTTTGGGATGCAAAACTTGATTGATTACCCTTTCAACTTCCTTGGATACCAAAATTCTTGAGAAGAGATCTGGCTCAAAGACGGAAAGAATCATTTTTCATCAGGATGGCGCGCCTGCTCTCAGGGATATGTAAGCAATACCTACTCTCCTGATTTGGCACCCCCGGATCTCCATCTGTTCCCAAATTTGGAGAAAGTATATTCTGGAAGGCGCCCGGGGTCCGACGAAGAAGCTATGATGAGCATTTTGATATCATTCCAGACTTCCACTTCCGCGAAAAATCTAATGTTGCACCAATTGTGATTTCCCATCTAAAAATCACAATCCCTTATTGGCAGGCTGAGAACTTTTCACTCCACCTTCATACCTATTGGACCATTTTAGCTGGCAGGATTTTTTATAAAATAAATTTTTCGAAGCGCCCATTGTCTCCGTGCTCCTTGTGACTATCGTCTGATTCTCGAATTCTCTTGGCACCCGGGCTAAATAGGATCTGTTTGATTTCGATGTCTAAACCTGTGACCAACAGCGCACAACGTTGTTTGATACTTGTTAGCCAACGTCAGTATGGGATGGGCCCAGTCTTCAAGACACACAAACGGAAACCAAAACGTAGATATGGCATGCTGAAAAACTCAATATGCAGTGCGCAGGTAAGTGATACTGACACACATGAAAAGTTCTCCCTCAGAATTGGTAAAAGATAATGCTCACTTTTATAGATTGCAAAAACATGTAAAACACCATACACCAGATTGGTAACCTTCTACAAACAGTTTCATCCCAAATTTGAAAAAAAAATTATAAATTGGTCAAACAGCAGAATGAAAAATTATTCCCGAACGTGATGTTCTAACTGTCCTCACGTATTGTGCGAAATGAAGATGTTTATGTTGGATGCAATTTTTATGTTTTCTTTGCGAACATGCTTCTCTCTTGGCTTTTATCGATAACTCCACGTAACAGATGGTCTGCCTCACAAGCGCGCTCTGCTACGCGCTGCCAGAATATATTCTTTCACCTCTGGCCAGCCGCGATCCCGCCGCTCAGTTGCATTTTGTAACTTTAGAGCATAAAACAGCACAAACCAGGAATTGGACTGGCGCGACGTTTTCGGAGCAACACACCAATTTACGATTCACGTGTGAACAGTTGCGGGAAGAGTGAAAAAAATCTAAACGATAAAACTTCACGCAATACAAAGGTACCTTTATCACTTGTTTGCAGGGCATCATCGAATTGGCTTGCAAAGCCTAAGTTTCGTAACCGCGTCATGAAAACCTTGTGGGTGAGCGGTGTCTCAAGAGGTGACAATTTCGGACAAGCTGTATCTGAGCGAGCAAATTCCATCTGGCTAGAGTTGGGCAAATATATTCTGGTAGCATACAGCTGAGTGAGGTTGAGTACACTTGGTGGTGCAGGCCGTTTTGATATGCGGAAGTACCGGTATATTTAACAAATATCCAAATTTTACCTAGGTTCAATTCCTATATACAATAGTCATGTACGTTAGCAGTCAAGTACCAGAGTGAAAGTAGCATATCGCATCGTACGCCATTGTTAACGTGATGTGTATTTGAGCTCGTTGAGATCCACATACTGGTGCTTGCTTGCAGTACGAGTGACGCAAATGTGTGAGAGTCGGTGGTACATTACATTTAAGGGTATTATTAATTTATTTACAATGGTTATTTAGGCGCGTCGTAGGCCAGTTAAAAAAAAACAACATACCTTTGGAGAAAGGGTTGGAGGTGCCACTTAAAATGAGAATCAATTTTCATACACAAATGTAGTAACAGTTACGATGGTGAAGTTACCTTAAGAACAACAGTGAAAATATCTATTACAAGGTACCAGAATAAATCAGGTGGAACAAATAGACTCTTGGAACAGTCGTCATGCCAGATCTATGTTTCTCTGTTTTGACGTATAATGATCTAGTATGATAGTAATGTATTTTTCTTCTGGGCCGTTTTTGTACAAACTTATCTCTTTGAACTGAGCACGTTTTTGCATAATCATCGTATTGCGTGTGTGATCATTAGATCCACTGACCGATATTTAAACAGACACAACTAAATATTTTGTCGAACTTTCATAGACCTTTGTTGTTCCAAAAAGATTTTTTATAAGTCACGTTTGGTCTCCCAGTTTTTTATGAGGCAAGTTCTCACAGTTTTTTATGAGGCAAGTAGTTTTTCCAGCTTCTATATATGCCATCTGGGCTAAAGATGGAGAAAAAGTGGTATCAAATTCAGGACGGCCTATATTTTCGTTTTTAAAGGAAAACTCTCCTGAAATGAAGCTTTTCGTATGACGCCATATGAGTTGGTTTCTTTCTCGATAAGGGACGTTACCTCTAGATATTCCAGGCTTCAATCTAATAAGTCAATTGAAATATGTTCAGTTACACATAAATCCGAAGACTCAGCAAAAATGTGTTTCCTCGCCGTCAACGACGAATATTCAAATGGTGGAGAATCAGAAGAAAGTCTTTCAAGAGAACCAGTTAAAAAGCATAAAAGCGATATCATTTTTTTTTCTTTTTAGTCTAGTAAATTTACATATCTTCATTGTTTTCCGTTTCTTTCACTTACTATATGAGCACTTGGCGCTGGATCTGGATTACTTGATCGACTCATTTTTAAAGCCGGTCTTCTAGATAAATCTCAGATTCAGGTTCAGACAGATAATTATTATAATAAATTATCTATCTGAGCCTTTAGTTCTTCTATTCCTCTTCCTTGATTTTTCTTGTGTCTCTGGTATCTAGGCGAGTACTCCTGACCAACCAAACGTAAACCAAGACTTACAGATTCACATGAAAATGACAATTAGAAGACTGACTACTTATCAAATAAGTACAAATCCACTAAATGACGTCATATACAAAGGTTCGTTTACAGGCTACTTTATTTTGAAAACGAAATTAGGGGTCTCGTCATCGAGCATTTTCATCCAATGCAACCTCCAAACCTTTCTTCCTAACATTCTTTGACTTTGACATATAAGGACGAATGATTCCCACATCGACAATAACCTTATCAGTCATCATTATCACACCCTCATCTCACTCATCGCCGCATGTGGCACTCCCCTCATACCGTCTCCCCCTCCCCCTTTATGCATCGATTGCCCTTCACTTTTCCCCCTGGGAGGAGGAGGTGGTTTGGGCACGCTCAAGGGCATGGTCGCATTACCGTTCGGCGGTTGGACCAACCCGTGTTGCTGCATCTCCTGTATCACACAGGCAGTGTTGTTCATCAGACTAGAATTCTTCGGTAGGGTCATACACCCTTGGTGCTGATATGATCCCATCGAAGAGTTCTTCGGAAGGGTCATACAGTTTTGCATGACATTTGGACTTGGTGGGGGAGCTTTCATTGCGTTGGACATGCTCGTTGGGCAAAGGTGTTGAGATTTGTGATGATCTTGATGGGCGTTCGCAGCTAGGATCATCGCTGAGGTGTCTTGTTCTACGTCCACGATGATGCTAGAACTTTGCGAGTGTCCCAAGTGGTAGTGCTGGTGCTTAGAGATGGTTTCAAATGCCGCTTGGTTTCTACTTTGTTGTTGTTGCAAGTTCTTAACCTCCATTCGCGTCTTGTCCCTTTGGTAATACACACCCGCGAATATTAGTACGTTCAAGATAAGCAACGAACAACCAATAGCTATAGTAACACTCAACGCGGTGCTATACGCAGCATATCCGGCAGCTTCTAGGTTCGCCAACGCATCTGTCGCATTATTCTGATTCTGAAACAGCTGCGGATTGTAACTAGAAGCCACGACATTCACACAAGTAGTGACCATGGTTTGGATGGTGGTAGGAGTGTCCAAGGTGGACATGGTGGCGTTAGGCCTCCGCCGGATGAGCTCAACAGTGGGATCGTAGTAGGAAACCCTGGACAAAGGGTCAGGTCGGACAGCTCCGTCGTAAAGGTCTGCGTTGTTGTGGTTTCGGAAGAGGTTGTGTCTGGCAACCACGTCTTCCATTCCAGCGCGGTGGAGCTCGGGGATCAAGCGTAGCCAGACGCTGAGCTGGTGGGCTCGGAAGTGGTTTTTCATGCGGGGTTTCATGCCTGGAACAAAAGAGATACTAATTTATTCATTCATCATATTATCCCGTGAACAATCGAAGAGGAATATTGTATAGTGCGCTTTCTTATTTTCATTCGACTTTGACATGATCAATGTAGATTGGACGTGAAGGATGCACTGGGGCATGCCTCTTCCCATATGGTAAAGCCATAGAGAATGCATTATGACGAGTTAAATGGAAAACGCAAGTGATGTTGATAAAATAGAAAAAAAGAAAATATACGACTCTGGATATTCCTCAAGGCTTATAACTTTGCTTGATATGATTCTATTAATGTGTCGTAGAATTCCAGAAGCAGTAACGAAATATGTTATGATGATGTTTTATCAAATATAGAGTAGCCCTCAATAAGGAGCCATTAGTGGGAAACCCGCCCTTCGTAACGTATTCTACAGGGTGTAAACGTTTTGATAGTCATTATTGAAATCGGTAATAGGGGGGGTGGTTAAAACATGTGCAAAAGTTCATATGACCCATGGTCCAAAAGTCAATAGATTTTTATCTAAATGGCTTCATGGTTTACAACTTTAAGTGCTTTATATCGACCAAAATCACCACAATCTTACTAATTTTTATAATCTAATCCAAACGTTTTTAAATTGGGTAGTTAACAAATAAATGGCATTAAGTTTTTATAAGTTAAGCCAAAATTTGTAGTCACTAAGTAAGTAAGTTTCATTAAAGTGGATACTTAAAACACACATGACAACAGCGCGTCGGTCATCATCACTCTTATCGAACCGGCAATCGATCGCAAACGGTAACAGTGGTTAGTATGTGTTTTTGCTTTTGGCGTACGTCGTCGTGTTGATTGATTTACAATGTTCTCGAATCAAGAATTCGCCGACATGTTGTTAGTTTACGGTGAAGCTCGTCAGAACTCATATCTTGCAGCTCAAGTTAATGGCGACAGATTTCGCCAACGGGTACACCCAGACAGAAGGACATTTGTTCAAGTGTATCAAAGACTTCCAAATACAGGAATTGTTCAGCCTACTAATATTCGCACTTGTGAAAGACAGGATACTGTAGAGCAGGAAAAAATCAATGCAGATATTAGCAATCGGGAATTAGACCGCCGCGTAGGACTGTCGCATACCATAGTCCATAGAATTAATGTGGGTCTTTATTCAAACGTGGATTTGGTACCCTAGTCAATAAAATCCGCCTTCCTGTAATTTCATTTAAATTTAACTGTATCTAAGACTTCATACTAATCAACACAAAGTAGAAAATAGCACGACATCCAATGCGGAAAATCGGAGGTAATGCATGTGTATATATTCTGAGCCCCATTCGGAGAGCACATTTAATTTCAGTCGATTTGCATGTCCTGTACCTTGCATAATATGACTCAACCGCTCACCTGGTCCACGTACACACAGAAGCAAGTTAAATAATATGCTGACCATAAACAGAATAATAAGGATAAAGCATGTGTATGCCCCTTTTCAATCCGAGCGATCTTCAAAGCAGGAATATGTATAAATAGACGGGTAGGATCTCGGTGGTTATGCTTTGAATTTACATCAACATGGGATATACACATCTAAGTTGATGCTGTTTGCCGAAGCTGAACAGCTACAGGCGCAATCAGCATTAGCAAGGTTGTAGTTTGTGTCATGCGCGCTGTATTTGGAGGTAAATAATATCATGTGAACATATTTAATAGGATACCTTACCAGCAGGATTTCTGAAAATAAACGGTACTGGGGAAAATAGATACCTGCGATGCCGGCAGACGACTGCTGGTTGTCAATTCGGGGAATCCCAACCATAGAGTACATTGACAAAAGAAAAAAATATAAAAAGGTATCTATTCTCAACCCAAAATAAATCAGTGTAGGTTTGGAAATTGTTACAAATGTGGATCTCCATACTCAAGTGTGAATATCTATCCAGCCTATCAGCATCATTTTATTTTGCATTAACTGTTACCCAACACTTCGAATGCGTGCTATAAACGTCCGATCACATTTTGCATCTTTGATTAGTAAATTGATAGGCAACTTGAATACATAATGCACATATTATTAGTAGGGCCACACGTTGCGCGGGTGAAAGTTTGATGCTGAAGGTTTATTAAATCTTAAAGCTGTGACGTGGTAGAAATCCGATGCCTTTGCCTATAGTATAACAAAATTCAGTCACCGCCACCGGTGGTAAATTGGAGCGCTAATTTCGCATATAGCCGTCAAGGAATTCTGAAGTGCGAAGCTCTTTTGTAGAAGAAATACAGGAGATTTGATCCCTCTTATCAATCCAAAAAAAGCTGTGACCGAATTTGTGATCTACGCATGGGATTTAACCAAAAAAGCCCATTTTGGTCGAGACTACGGATACCTGAGAGTGAAAAGTGTGTTCTTACTAATTCTGCTCTCGTCATTACGACAAAGGACAAGCCGTCTACCACTGTTGTGTGCTTATTGATTATCACCTGCATGGTCTAGACAAGCTTTTTATCTAGAACAACAAACGAACGCAGACCGAAGTATCATCTATAGTAAAGGTCTGGTCTATCGAAGTAGGTCAGTTCAAAGTGCGATCTATTCCTAGAATTGACCACTATGGCCGTAAATAGATAGATATCTATTTAAACTGTACAATATCTCAGTTCGTATCGACAGCCGAGTTACCACTGTGACCCGTTGATGCCGTCGATTCTGGCGATATAGTGGATGAAGGACTTCTCGCAATGGAAAAACTAGTAATACTGATTTAGCCAACGAAGGATGAACCCTGAGGCGAACTGTGTACAGTGCTTTCTGGCATATTTTCTCACCTAGAGACCAAGCCTAGACTGTGCTGATGATTGCCAATGAGCATGAAACAGCTGTACGTGTTCGTCCTCTAACGGACGAAAGCAACATTGTTTTTTCAATCTGGAGTAGCCCATCATTTACTATATCGTCAGACTAGATGGCATCAAGCGGTCATAGTAGTGACTGTCATTATTTCAGTGGTCGATTCTGGTAATAGATGGCAGCTTTTGCTGTCGCATTTTGATATGCTTTGTCAGGCGCAGTATGTTGACTATAGTGTCCACGACACGGTGACGTAGATAATTAAAGCGGGAGGTTCCACATTCTGTTTTACATTGCAGTTTGCTGTTATATATACTGTTTACTTCACGTTGAGATTGTCGCTTATGTCCGCTTGTCGGTGCCTGTTTTAACGTAAGTAAGTCAATTGAACAATCAAAATATACTTTATTGCCAGAGAACTCATTATTCTTGTTGACAAAGGTAGTGGATAAGTATGACATACGACGTAAATACTCACAGACAACATATAACAAGGAATACGATAAAACACGAAACAACATAAAACAAAATATAATTCAACATGCAAATTGGATCACAGTACGTCAGCAACGCATTCCTACATTGCTACAATGGGCTTGTTGTAGAAGCAGTTCTTGCACAACTTTTTTGAAAATACACGAATGCCCTGGTGATGCCTAAACTTGTACCGTCTAATCTTAGTTGCTGGTTGTTGACTGGAATATTTCTTCTTAACCAACTATCGAGTTTTCCAATAGGGACTTGACAACTTTGGACTTTAACTGTAAACGCACCTTTAAATCAATTACCGAACTGTTAATGTAAAACATTCAGTGAAGAAAACATTTTCATCAAGGTGAAGTTCACAAACGAATAACGCTTACAAATAATTAAAATTTACTACCGAAATTCCGAGTCGGTGGCTACAACTTTAAGAGCGTGTGACACTCCTAATTTTTTTTTATGGGGCTACATTCAATTATTGCTCTATGCCAACAAGCCGCTGCGAACATGCCAGTGGTAGACATATGAACAAGTCGAATTCAATGCATAAATATTTTGAGTATGTACACTAGAATCCAGTAATAAAATTTTCGAGATATCTCAAATGGATTGTGTTTTATTTAAAAATAAAGTTGTCAATTTTTTAATGGAAAACCCTTCACTTCACTTCCGAGTATAAAAAGACCCGTTAAAACCTTGAGCTCTACAAAATGGGTTAAATGAGGCTTGAATCCACTTCACAACCGGTCGATATAACCTCTTCTCATATCTTTTTAGTTTGACCATACTATGTTAAAACTATCTAAATGCCTTAGAACTATTGGCGGGCGCCGTATATTAGCTTTTCCAAACGACGGCCACGTTCAAAATAGATTACATGTTGTGACGGAGGAGGCGTTTTGGATGCGGTCCCGACTGAAAATGCTCCGGGCTCCGGGTAGAAATAATGAAGCGGGAGGTTCGATAACGGCGTTGCTGGCATTGATCACGGAACCGCGCGTTTACCCGGATTATAAAATAAACTCAGGAACATATTTCACCGCACAGCGTAATTTGGAGAAAAAGGTTTATGTACCTTCCTTCCAGATAAAGTGAATCTGCGGTATCGCTATTGGTTGCTCTAGTATGTAAATAACACGGAAATGCGTACTTTATGAAATTAAGTTTTTCAGAAATTGTGGGAAAATGTCTGGAAAATTAAAAAAATTGTAAATCTGAACTGATTCTGAATTTCTTAAAGTTCTGGGATAGTGACAATGTTCAAAATTATTAGGACTGAAAATTTAGCAACTTATGAAAATCCCGAAAATTTTTAAAATTTTTTATTTCAAACTTTAGCAAATTTAAAATTTCTGAAAGTATTGAGAATTTTGAAAGTTTTCGGTTTTGAAAATATTCAAAACTTTGTAAAACTGAAAATCTAGGACATTTTGAAAATATTAGAAATATTGAAAATTTGGAAAGTTTGGAAATTTTGAAGATTTTGAAAATACTGGAAATTTTGAAAAATTAAAAAAATTTTGAAAATATAGAAACTTTTGAAAAATTTGAAAACTGAAAATTTGGAAGTTTTTTAAAATTTTTAAAATATTTTAAATTTAAAAAATTTAGGAAATTTTGAAAACTTTTTAAATTTAGAAAATTTAGAAAATTTTGACATTATCGAAAATTTTTCGATGACATTTAAAAAAAGACTGAAATTTGCAAACTGATAATTTTAAAATTTTTTAAGATCTTGGAACTTGAAATTTTTGATAAAGTGTGAGGTCTGAAACTTGATTAAAAAGAAAGTTTTGAGGCTTGCAGAATAAAAAAAGATATTTTTGCCAAATTATGGAAGCTTAGAAAATCTTGAATTGAAGATTTCACAGACCTCCCGGATTTAGTTTTCATGATACAGTTTCTATGATCCACCAGCCTAGCCGTGATATGTAATTTAGTTTCATAACATAACCGGCAAGTCTGTGCTCCTATTCTAAAAGAGCAGCCTTAACATATCTCCCAAATTAGCCAGCAACCGCCAAATTCCCATTAATTCCTCGCTTTGCCATTGAACACGGCCGTAATGTCGTTTGAAAGTCAAGAGGGATGCGAGTGCCATTTAAAAATCCCAATAGATGCGAGAAAAGAGACAGTGATAAAGAGAGATGGCACGTGCGAGATCCCTAGGGAGCGAGCAGATTTATTGTCGACTCGAGATCATTTTGCGCGCATACGTTTCGGATATCCCGAGATGTTCCCACGTTAATAGCAGGCAGAGCGTTGGATATATATTCATGCAGGCATGGGAAGAAAGGATAAGGAGTAGGCTAGTCTTTCAAATTATTGAGTATGCATAGTATGTTTTATACTTTGCCTAGGTATTCTATACAATACCGAATGCGCAGCCGGCAATGTATGTAAAAGACGAGACCAAGGAACGGGTTTTGCTCAAGGGGAAGAGTGGCTTCCAGAAATATCAGCTGCAAAACAGCTACAAGGCAGATGCAAAACAAAACTGGAGGAGTGTGAATGGTGGTCCTCCGCAACGCCTTTTCACTGTTAATTTTGATGAAGATGATTTTAAATAATATAACTTGATTCATTTTCCAGTCAGTTTATAGGAATGCTGGTTAACATTGATACACTTAGACCAAGATCTATTTATTTTACACATTGCCGGTGGAACAGCAGGTACTCTATACAATTCTTAGGAATTATATTCAATACCTTTTTTTTTTTTTTTTTTATACTCCAACTACCACGAAGGCCTAAGGCCTAAGCACCCATTGGGTACCGTGGGGCTATGGGGGATACATGGGAAAGGGGGGACGCCACACGGACTCTGGCGAGGGAACACGTGTGCATGCAACATGCACACATTCTGGCTCCGCCTACGAGAACCGCCGGGTGGTACCTCCGCGTTCGACAGTCAGAGACCATCTACCACCTACGGACAATCACAACATCCATGGCCAAGAGAAACATTTCTCCTGGGGTGGGACTCGAACCCACACAGCGCGCGGCGGCTGATCAGGAGACCGAAGAGTCTACTACTGCGGCCACCGCTGCTGCCTAAAACAAACACACAACATCCATGGCGAAGGCGAGATTCGAACTCGCGGCCCGGCCGGCCGGCTGATCAGTAGCACGACACTCTGACCCACGCGGCCAACCGAGGCCCCATAATTTACCCTAGGTAAAGTATGTAATGGATAGTAATATTCATGATATTCCATACATTGCCTGGGCAAGCCAGGTATTCTATACATTGTCTAGGTTTTGTAACACATATACTATATAGTATTATACGGTATTTTTGAAAAAAAAATATTTAGAAGGTAGTTTTGAACAGTAACATTCGAATAGAACGACAACAATAGAAAATATCGAATAGTTTATTTTACAATAGATGTTCAAAGTAGCCCCACCTTCGACTTCAATACAGGCGTCTAGTCTGTTACACATTGACTAGCGAACAAACCTGAAAATACCCGGAGTATTTTGTACAGTCAGACATGACTCGACAATTCTGACTCTAAAGTTGTCCAGGGTTTAACCCTTAACCCGCAAGGTTGATTAATTTAACGTTAATCGCGAGTATCGGTATGTGATACCGCTTTAGATTTTTACATATAAAATTAAAAGCATAGTGTAAATATTTGAAGGTTTTATTAATTTTTTTACAAAATAAAGCAAAACAAAAAAAAAAAGCTAAATAATAATGACATTCTAGACAAAAGATTGCTAGTTTTCAGCGATCTTCTTGGTCGGCGACACAGTTCTTACACATTTTGCATGGCATGCTCGAGGCAAATAGGTTGCTGACAAGAGTAGCATTTGTAAAACGTCTTTCTCTTCTTCTGGTATGGACACAAAAACCAAGTTTTCTTCACTTCTAGCCGCTCGTTTCTTGACGTTGATGGTTCGTTCCTAAGATCGTCGACTCCAAGAGCGCCTTTGATAAGAGCTTGAAGTTCTTTGTTCAATTTTGGATTTTGCCATATGAGGCTTTACGAGTTGCATCGCTAGTTCTTCAATAAACAGACGTCTGGATTTTGGTGTAATGTCTTTGTAATGAAGAAATAAAACGAATGCATTATTGGTAGATATATCTATCAGTCTATAAAATATTGCTAAGGGCCAACGACGAGTACGACGGCCGGAAGAATAATTTCATGTCGAGAGTATCAACGCCACCTTTAGTCGCATTGTAAAATGATATTATTTCAGGAAGAGCATTTTCGGTGTCGGTTGCTTTAGAATGATGGGCTGAAGAGACCAATAATACAGCTTTATTTTTTTTGGAACGTGCGATATTAGTGTGAATGCATCATTGGAGAACCCATATAACGTAGATACAACTGGTCGTTTGGGCGATGGTAAAAATTCTGGAGGTATCTCCCGCTTGTTCTTCGTCAATGACCCTGTGTAAATTAAGCCTTTTTTGCGTAACTGATGAAGCAGCTCTATTGAGGTAAACCAATTATCAGCAGTTATGTTTCTGTTTGTTTTTTCGATAGGCTTGACTAACCGAAGAACTGCCTGTGTTGGCTTCTGAAATTTCCTTTCTTCGTCGGGTAATGTTTTTCCATCACTATCATTACCTGTGTAGATATAACCGTTGTAGAAATAAGGGTTTCGAGCATCCGCCAGACATTGTAATTTGAGACCATTTTAAGCGGGTTTGTTAGGCATGTACATTTTAAAAGAGCATCGCCCTCGGAAACTGATTAACATTTCGTCGATGCATGTTGTTGGACCCAAATTGAAGCATTTTTGTGAATTATCGATGAAACGGTTCAATAGAAAGGATATTGCCGCTGCTGAGTCCTCCTGACACCGTTGGACTCTAGTGGAAGCATCATCAAACCTTATACATTTGAGTAATTTTTCAAATCTTTTGGAAGAAATTACTGCTCTGAATATGGGACGACCTGTACACGTATTTGAAAATAATGATAGCATATTTTCATGGTTCGACCGGAATATAGATGTTAGCATAAGAAGACCAATAAAAGCTCTTATTTCAATAAGGTTAGTATTCTTGTAATCTGTGGTATTAGAGTTCCTGTGGGTAGATCTTACTATTTCCAATTTTTCATTTGTTCTCAATACGATTTCATTTAGCGTCTCGTTGTCGAATAAAAGGTTCCAAATTTCACCAACATCAGGACTGTTCCCCAAACGACTTGCTGCTGGTTTAAGACTGGGCAATTTGATTATAATGCTATGTTTGGGCGTTCTTAGAGCTTTATTGGGTTCTTCGGACTTCCAAATATAACCGTTTTTACCTTTATAACTGACTACACCTGTAACATGATCACTTTGCACATTATCGCGGCTCGAATTCGAATCTTGGTCTACCGACTCCATTTCTAATTCACTGTCCTCTTCTTCATGATCTGAAGAAACATATTCTTGCTCAAAAGTGGAAGAACAGTCATCTTCTATAATTTCATCTTCCTGTAATGTTTCGTCATTGGAAACTTCTAAATCAGAAGAGTCTTTTTGTTCGTCATCAGATTCCAATTCATCGAACCATTTTCTGAGCTTTTGCTCATAGTCTTTGTCACCAAACTTTACTCACTCTAAGCCAGATGCCATGATCTGAAATAAAAACAAACTTTGGGAATTGATTTACAAAATCACTGGATTCGAATATAATATGTTATTTCAATAACGCAAATTTTGAAAAAAGTAAATACCATAATAACATATTCCAGAATACGAAATATTAGCATACAGCTCTCATACTCAACTCTGTGAAAATTTATTTGTTTACGCACAAATACATATTGATTCACATAAAATATTTTGTACTAAGCACTACATTTATTTTTACCTTCTGAACTGTGTTTTTTTCATTTTAGATACGAAGCCATTTTTCACGTAAACAAATAAAAATAAGATAAAAGACTTACCACGACTCAATCACACATAAACACATTAGATCCCATAAAACTAATATTTCCTTGACTGGACGTGTATCCAAAAGTTCTACGCTATACGCGACTATCGGTATGACGGACCGCCAAGCTTCAAAGTATCACTTCCGCAAATCGGTTTTGAGAATACTAATTACCGCGCCGCTTTTCCCAATTCGGCATCACACCATATACTGAAGCTAGGTGGGGGCTCAAGGTCATGAGTTCATTCTGACCGCAGTTATGGAAGGTTGAATTTTGAATAGCGGTACAGGATACCGTGCTCGCGAGTCAAGGGTTAAACAGGAGTCTTGGATACTACTGATTCCAAATGTCCCCATAAAAAGAAATCGATAGGATTCATGTCAGGCGATCTAGGTGGCCATGGCTGTGGTCACAGGGCATACTTAATTTAGATAAAATACGTTTAATTCTATTATAGTTTTTCAGAACAATATCATCATTTGTTATAGTGCTTATATGCTTTAGCTTGAAAACAAAGCCGTTGCGGACCCATATTCATATGGAAATTTCGTCTTCAAATTGACCAAGGATCCGATGGTTAAAGTTGGTCTACATACTTTATTAACAGCCTGTATTTTCCGAAGTCGTCTCATGCTATTCCTCAATTAGCCTCACAGAGTATGTTCCCAAATAATAATGTGTCGTTGAAAAAAGCGCAAGATTAGTCCAGGTGATTTAGATACAGCATTTAAACAAGTCCTATACAAAAAATGAGAGAACAGATCCCATAACTGCCATTGTCGAACTTGTACATTCTAGTCAGTAATGAAACGATTAAAGGATAATAAATCCTAAATCTTCAATGTCAGGACTAACCAATGTAATAGGTGGCTGCCTTGATGTCATTTTCAATTATAAACACGGTTCTGGAAGCTGTGCCTTATTACCTAACCTGACAACGAACTGTTATATTCAAAATAGGATAATAAAGCACGTACGGAAAAATGGACTAACGTCCGTAGTATCCCAGGAGCACAGAGATAACGCCGTACCTGTTCCACTTGTCTGGTTCTACTCCTGCAATTTCAATGGAAGTTGCCTTATTCGTCCTAATAAAATCTTCTCCATTTGTGGATTACGCAACGGAAACTCTGGTTTTCCAGCTGAAGAATATCGAAACCGATATCTTGGTAGAGTACATTTTTGAGACTATAGTATAGAGAGGTGCCTAGCCGAGCCACAAAAATTAATGATATACGCATTTGTTTGTAAAACTTTAAGGAATGCTGCAATGGTCAGTAAACAGCATATAGCGCAGATCGATATTAAATTAGGACTAATCTAACCCTGAGAAGCAGACTGGCGCGATGATATTGGCAGCTCAATTCCTCTCGGATGCTTTTATGATTGACGGCCTGCTGCGATACATCCTCAACATTCGTTTCTTTTGTTTCTGTTTCCATCCGTCTTCTCGGGAAGCGGTAAACACGCGATGCCCGATTGAACACCAGCTTGAACTTTATTTATTCCCGGTTGCATCGGCACGTGTTACGGGAACAGATTCGGTCGATATTTCCAGGACATACATCGGTCGTTCCTAGGAGAGCTACGGTTCTTCGAAATTCATGAGACAGTCTGAACGTACAAGCCGGAATACAATATATTGTGCTCAGTGGTGTGTGTTCGACAAATAATTATGCCAAACACACAGGAGAAACATACTTGTGATCTATGTCGCTTGAAACCTCGTGACAAAAGCGACAGATATTTTGAAAATGTGTTTAGGAAATCATGAGACACATAGTAGATCGATAAGTTGGAGTACGCTGCTTACAGTGTCCATCCAGCGAATATGACAGAAATACAGGAAACTGGTGATTCAACGAGCTTGGGACCCCATAGGTCGCAAGTCACATTCAGGACGCCTAGCTTTAAAATGTTGTAGATTTGGAAATCGGCGTATTTCTATCTTTTGATGATTTTTGTAGTTTTGAACCATTGAAAGTATTCTATATTTCGGAAATATTCAAAGCTTGGATGGTCTTTAAGAACACCCTGTGGTTTTTCAAATTTTTGAGTACTACTATTTCTAAGTTGGTTTTAGATACCTCGTCAAGTGAGTTTATGTAACAAAACGATCAAGTACACCTAGTACACCCAAGGATGATGATGAAAACGAGCCACAAAACACTGTAATAGCGTACGGACTGCCCAACGAGGAGGTCCTATATTTTGGAAGCTCGTGGATACTTTGGCCTACGTGTTTACCTACAACATAATAATTAAATAATTGCCGAAGGCCGTTCCTCACAAGGTTTATGCCGGTTCTTTGGGAAAAAGTTTTAGAAACTTAAAAGATTTCTAGACTGCACGTTTTTGAAAAAATAAGCTAAGCCCAAAAAATCTCAAAATCTTGAAGTATTCGATTGTTTTTAAAACATGCTTTTCAAAATTATGAATCCTTTGCTATTTCTGAATCTATGAAGTTTTGAAGTGTTGAAAATTTTGGATATACTTTATTTAAAATTTTGGGAAATCTGAAAGTTGTGAAAAACTTTGAAGATTTTGCGAATCTTGGAAATGCTGGGATTTTTTTCGTTTGTATTGTCCACTTGTTTCGAGGATTGGCCCGGATGATACTTCTAAGACTTGCATTATGTTTTATAGAAGACCTTTCATATTTTGCTTGGAGATTCATGAGTTGGAATACATATGCTCACACATATTCGCGTCGTATATGTTTAAGATACTTGAAATTACCAATATCTTGCAAACCAAATATTTAAAACAGGAAATTTTGAATTCTTTGTGAATCTTGAAAGTCTATCACATCTTAAATGCTCGTGATTTTGAAAGTCTTAAAATCATGACAATATTGAAAATCCGTGTTTTTTTTCAGTTTGAATGTATAGGTAATTGTGAAAACATTCTGAATTTCGAAAATACCATGACCCAGACAGGCATGAAAAAGCACCGGGTATGGTGTACGGCGATTGAAAAATCGTGATGCATCGCTTGGCCGAATCCAAGGTACACACTTGGTAAAAGAGTTATTTCAAAGAACATGTTCTCCTATACAGGGTGTAAACGTTATGGTAGTCATTATTGAAATGGGTAATAGGGGGATCAAAACAAGTCAAAAAAATTCGTATCACCGATGGTCCAAAAGTCAATAGATTTTTGTCTCAATGGCTTTATAGTTTACAACTTTAAGTGCTTTATATCGACCACAATCACCTCAATCTTACTACAGTAAGTTTCATTAAATTAAATATTTAAAACACACGACAACAGCGCATCGGTCATTCATCACCCTTATCGAACCGGCAATCGATCGCAAACGGTAACAGTGGTTAGTTATTGTTCGCGTACGTCGTCGTGTTCATTCACAATGTTATCGAATCAAGAGTTCGCTGACATGTTGCTAGTTTACGGTGAAGCTCGTCAGAATTCAAATCTGGCAGCTCAAGTTTCTCGCGACAGATTCCGCCAACGGGTACACCCAGACAGAAGGACATTTGTCCAAGTGTACCAAAGACTTCGAGATACAGGAAGTGTTCAGCCCACTAATATTCGTACTCGTGAAAGACAGGTTACTGTAGAGCAGGAGGAACAAATTTTAAATATCTTGGAAATCAATGCAGATATCAGCACTCAGGAATTAGGCCGCCGCGTAGGATTATCGGATACCACAGTCCATAGAATCCTACGGGAAAATTTGCTTTATCCCTACCATGTACAAGGAGACTATCCTCGCAAACAAACATTATGTCAGTGGTTTTGGCACAAAACATTAAAAATCCGGATTTTTTTAAAAACTTTTACGCGAGACGAGGTATTAAATTTCAATAATACTCACACGTGGGCCCAAGAAAATCTTCATCCTACTTGTGAAGGTCATTTCCAACAACGTTATAAAATAAATATTTGGGCGGGTATTCTTGATGATCAGGTAATTGGCGCTTTCGGGTTACCCCCAAAGTTGTCAGGAGAAGGATACTTTAGCTTTCTAGCGAACAACCTACCAGAACTTTTGGAACAGACCTTAGACAACATGCCATCACAACGGAGACAGAATTTGTGGTTTCTTCATGACGGAGCACCACCACACATTTTTAGAGGCGTCATTCAGTATTTGAATGAACATTATCCAAATCGCTGGATCGGTCGAGATGCTTCTGATCCTCGAAAATGGCCAGCAAGATCTCCAGCCCTCTATCAAATGGATTTCTGGTTTTGGGGAGAACCTAAAGAGATAGTTTACGAGGCTGGTCCAATAACAACTGAAGCACAACTTCGCGAACAAAATTTTAATGCGGCTGAAATAATAAATGGATAACTTCGAAGACCTAGAGTAAGAAGAAACTTGGTTCCTCGTAATGAAGCTTGTGTGGAAAGTGGAGGACGACATTTTAGACACAAAAAAGTGCAGTTTGGGTTTTAAAGATAAAAACAATGTGTGTATGAAAATTGTGTGCCCTATTCATAAGTGGATTTTTTTAATACGTTCATAAACTTTCACACATCAGGTGAAGCGCTGAGACCAGTTAGTGGTAAGTCCGTTTTTTTTTAATTGTTTGCATTTCACGAGTACATTATCAAATAATGAAATAATACCTAAGAACCAAAAATGACAAACTCCATCTTTATTTACACTGCGTTCCGTCGTAATTTACGTCTGGCATTGCGGCGTTTCCAGATTTTATTTTACTTTAAAGTCGCTTTTCTCTAAAAAAATGCAGTTTTGACCCCCATGTTATACGAAACATTTTGCATCTTTTAACCCCCTCTATCACCCATTTAAATAGTGACTATCATAACGTTTACATCCTGTATATATATAATTCCATATGAATCATATGTTAGTGATAGTATAAAGCACCCAAGCAACTATTGATCCAAAACTTTCCACGATAATAATGTTTCCTTGCTCTTTGCACCGAAAGTACAGCCTGAAATATCATGATATCACAGAACGGAATTCTATTCAGCACAAAAACTCCTCTGACAGGATCTCATAACTGTAGGAGAAATTAATTTCTTGGTAAGTTGCGAGGAGGAAGAGGCTTATTAATGTTTGAGTTTGGAGTAATTCATATGCCGCTGGATGAAGGATATAATCTGTTTACACTTTCTCGGGGTACAATTTATCGCTTTGGGGAATGTATATTTCTCTGTGGTGCTGTCAACGTTACAACAACTAGTGTGTTGCTCCGTCTTGAAGTACGCTGAGTTTGTACAGGTAAGAAGCTTAATTC